TAAAACAGATTATAATATAAAAAATTCTAATTTACAAAACTTTTGTACTAAAAAGTTGTTTTAAAAACCGATAAAAAACTGTCCTAAATGAAGCCTTAATTTAATTGACATTTCAATTAAATTTTTATGACTAATTTTTTATTGAATAATAATAAAACCTTAATAAATTATCATTTCAATTAAATGATCAGTTAGCTTAATCATCCTGATTTATGTATAATTAAAAAAATAATGAAATTTACCTTTTTTTTGAAATTTCAAGAAATAACTCGCTTTGTTTTCTTAAGCTAAAAAATTAAAACATGATTATCAAACACATTTTTCCATTCATATTTCTGAAAACTAAAAAGAATTGTAGGAAAGGAAATCGAATCTAAACGTATGATTTTAGAAATTTCTAGAACATAGATAATCCCTTTAACTTGGATAATTTCAAGCTCTAATTAGCTTGACCAATTTAGTCTCAATTGGATTGAATTAGATTTTGTAGGATTTCTCATATCATTGATCGAGAAGTTAATATTAGTAGTTTTAGGCTGCGTTTGACAACTTTCTTACTACTTTCTAAAGCAACTTTTTAGTATGAAACTTTTTAATTCAAATTTTTTTTGTACTAGAAATCTGTTTTAAAAAGTATTAAGAAAGTTGTCCCAAACGAAGCATTAATCATATGCTTTTAGTTATATGCCTTTTTTGTGAAAGACATTCACACAGATGAATTCTGACCAATTTAAATGATTCCTTAATATGATGCTTTTCATGTAACACTAAAGTTTTTGTTAGGTTGTGATTTAAAAAAAAATTGGTGACCTTCCATTATCATCTCATTGCTTGGAGCATATAGGTGTGCTTATCATGACCCAGTTCGAATACTCGAACTAATGAGGTGGGAACTAATAGTCGGACGGTCAATATAATTACACATAATAGCAATAATTAACAATCCACATACTCTGGAGAGCTGCTAACAAATTATTCATTTGTTCATGAGTACAAGTTAGAATATACCTGTTATCATTCGAGCCACTTTTGTACACAAAATCCTCTCTTTTAGCTATTTATACTTATCAAGAGACTTACCTGAAAAATTAGTTTAATAGAGTGAATTTACAAAGTAAACTCAGTGGGTAATCACTATTTCATATAAAATAGTTTGACATATAAAATAAAACATACAGTTAACATATGCATCTTCTTTCATATACTGTAGATTTTATAATTCATCTTTCAAATAAATTGCTTCTTATTCTATTTCATTTTTCCATTTCCATTTTCATTAGTACAGGAGCACCATCTAAATACACCAATAAGGGTAAAGCCATTACTATTTCTTTTTTTTATTTTTATTTAACGTGTACTGATTCGTTTCTTACCCAGCCAACTATACGGGAGTGAACTCTTATAATTTGCATGGATATACCCTTTCCTTTTATTGTTTGCATTTGTTCCATTTCAATCATATGGTTGTCTTTATGTACTTTTTTCAAATTGTGCTTTATTGTTCTTTCAATGTATTTAAATCCACATACATTTCACATAACACATTTTTATACTAATATTGCTTTGTTACTTTAATGGATAACTTTAATCATGTACCATAAAATATATAACAACCTTCAGTCATTTTTAATTGAATGAATAGTCAGGAAACTGTATAAAATAAAAATAGAATCATATAATATCTATAAAAATAACAAAAATTACCCACTTTAATTATTTTCGAGCTTTAATTCTCCCCAACCTCGAGTTTTGCTATAGAATCCCAATACCCATCTCAGATCAGTTATGAGAATCTCATTGTTCCAATAAAACATAAATTTTCATTAATTATCGTTGAACAATCTACAAATTCAAAGTCACGATCAATTTAATTTGACTAACATCCTTAAGAGTAATGCTAAATGCATCTGCTAATATTACAAAATCTCGAAAAAACTTTCAACTTTCCATATCTTGAATATAATTCACAATTTAGTTCTCTGATAATGAAAATTATTACCTTAGCCAATGATTCCTTCCTTCCTCTTTGAAATTGTCTCCGTAGAAATTTAGATTCATCACTAAATTTCCTCTCTTTCTGCTTGACAATTACCTATTATTTCATCAATTAGAGAATTGTAAAATAATAACTGTAAAGGCAAAAGAACAATTTAATTTACTTACTTTTGTCGTCATAAATGATAATCCGTTAATTTGTCTTTCATCAAAATTTTCCATTACTTTATTTCTGAATTCCTTCTTCTTTCTTCCTTTAAAATAGTTTACCTCTTCTTAGGATTTGTTCACAGAAGAAAATGTGACAAAAAAAAAAAAAATTGGAAAACTTGCTTTTTTCCTCCTACTTCCTCTCAGCCGTTTCTCTCGACTGAAGATTTCTCACGCAATTTGCTTCTTTAGGAGTGAGCGAACCGAAGTTCTTTCGCATGAGGAGTCGTTCTATTTCATTCCCGTATGCATTCCTTCTCTCATAATCACGAACTGACCCGTCCAGGAGCTCTCGTGCTTGAGTTCAGCCCAGTCGGCTTCGCGTGCTGCTCTCGGTTCCGCTCCTTGTTCGTGCAGGTTATTAGTTAGGGCTGGCCGGTTCAATTGAACCAACTAGATTTAAACCGGTTATTACAGTGCTATAGGCCACATCATGCTTGCTTTGACCCATATCGTAGCATGCTGCATCTCTTGTGCTATTTGCTTGATTAGGAGAAACAAAATAAACTAAAATGCTATATTTCTATTTATTTGCTATAACACATCACACATATTATGCATGATACACTATTTGAGTTTCTTATTTCAAATTTTAATTTTTTAATTGGTTACTGTATTTAAATTTTTTGTATGAATAAGTAACTTTTTAGACTTTAAACATATTATAATGAAAGTAGTTTCATTGTTATGTTTAATTCTCATGCAAATATATTTATTCTTCTCCCTCTACTTGAAGTAATATGATTGATTTATAGAAAGTAGAATAATTGAAGTAATATGATTTATTTACAGGAAGTGGAAATTTTTGTCTTCCTTTATATGGCTAGCTAAGGCTTTTATATCTTTGATTTTGTTGCTATTTTAAACGTAGAATCTTACTTGTATATTTTGGAAGGTTCTAGAAATTTCTAGAACATATATAATTCCTTTAACTTGGATAGTTTCATGCTCTAATGAGCTTGATCAATTTAGTCTCAATTGGATTGAATTAGATTTTGGGGAATCTCTCATATCATTGATCGAGAAGTTAATATGAATAGTTTTAGGCTTCATTTGGGACAACTTTTTTACTGCTTTTTAAAGCAGCTTTTTAGTATGAAAATTTCTAATTCAAAAAATTTTTGTACTAAAAAGTTGTTTTAGAAAATATTAAGAAAATTGTTTCAAATGAAGCTTTAATCTATAGCTTTTAGTTATATGCCTTTTTTCGTGAAAGACATTCACACAGATGAATTCTGCCCAATTTAAATGATTTCTTAATATGACGCTTTTCATGTAAAAAATACTTATAAGTTTTTATTAGGTTGTGATTTTAAAAATTTTATGACCTTCGATTAATCACCTCATTGCTCGGAGCATATAGGTGTGCTATAGACCCCATATCGTAGCATACTGCATCTCTTATGCTATTTGCATGATTAGCAGAAAAAAAGTAAACTAAAATGCTATGTGCACGATGTATTTGCTATAACACGTCAGGCATATTATGCATGATACACACTATTTGAGTTATCTATCTCATTTATTTATTTTTTTGATTGATTACTGCATTTAAATTTTTTGTATTAATAAGAAAATTTTTTGGACTATAAACATAGTATAATGAGAGTATTTTCATTATTATGTTTAGTTCTCATGAAAATATATTTATTCTTTTCTCTCTATTGAAGTAATATGATTGATTTATAGGATTTAGAGTAATTGAAGTAATATCATTGATTTACAGGAAGTAGAAATTTTAATCTTCCTTTATATGTAGGTTTTTTTTTTATTATTGTTAGATGAGGAACAAAACAACAAAGCATCATGGAAATGGTTGCTACTAGCTTGTTCAACCATTTTCATTCATATTTCTGAAAACAAAAAAGAATTGTAGGAAAGGAAATGGAATCAAAACAACAAAGAATCATGGAAATGATTATCAAACGCATTTTTCCATTCATATTTCTGAAAACAAAAAAGAATTGTAGGAAAGGAAATGGAATCTAAACGTATGATAAACCGAAAAAAAATGTCATATGGTGTTCAGACATTGTAAACTTGCAATTTACATCTTGTCTTTACTACAACAACAATAACATCAAGCATTTATCCCACAATGTGGTGTTGGCTACATAAAACCTTTATTTTCCTTTCTGTCGTGTTAAGGGTCAAATTCTCATTTAAATCTAATAAAGAAAGGTCATTTCTAATATTTTCTAATGAAGCCTTTTTAGGTCTGCTTCTACCTTTCTTAACATTAAGCCAAATGTAATACATCTACTTTCCGAACCGGGTCATCGGAAGGCCTCCGTTTTATATAACCAAACTATCTATGATAACTCTCTTTAATCTTATCTTTCACTGGAGCTACGCCAACCTTTTTCACGTATATGCTCGTTTTGGATCCTATCTCTAAGAGTAAAGCCACTGATCTGCCCGAGTATCCTCATTTCTACAACACTTAAACTAATATTATGCTTCTCTTTTAACGGCCAACTTTCTACATAATAAAGCATTGCAGGTCTCACCACTATCTTATAAAATTTTACCGTAAGTATGAGGGGAATTTTTATATGACACAAGCCCTACTGAATAAAATCACTCATTTGTAAGGAGGATTGTGAAGTAATAATATGTTTACTGGGTGTCTGAGAGTCTCTATGCATCGTTGAACTGAAGTAGTGAAATGAACAAATAATAACCCCTACAAAACAGAGATGATGGGGAAGTATAGCTTGATGGATAGTTTTCCATCCCTCTTACATCGTCTTACATTTTAATATCACTAAAAATTACTCGTTGTGCTGCTGCAGGGAAGTGCCAAAAAGCTGATCAAAGCAGCTCTCCAGGAAGCTGCTAGGAAAAGAGAGATGCGCTATGCTGATCTGAAAAGAATCGATAAGAAGGTTCGAAGGCACTTCCATGATGATATTACTGTCATCATAATATTCCTGAACCATGATCTTCTGGCCAAAGGTTTCGCTCAAATGTCCACGCTATCAGTCAGGAGTGCCCTGGAACACTAGTTCTCCTCATATGCAAGGTAACAAGTCATTTTCTTTCCGCTGATCCCATATCCACAGCTTATTGCAACGCCTGTTTTTATCAGATTTTAGGGTGATTTCTTGCACGTTTCATCTATTTGGTTTAGTAATCAGTAAGGCTGCTGCACTCCAGATTTTTGCTATTTTCATGCTTTTCTTAGAGTGTATTCATTTGGGACTTGAACAATTCCTAGGTTTTCTTTACTTTGGGAGATTTTATTAAAAATAGAGGTAGCAGACGATTGATTCATTAGTTAAATTTTGAGTGGCTGATCATGAGTCTATTTATTATTATTCTTATCATATTTGAGTGGCTTTGTTTGGGACGGTTTTTTTTACTGTTTTCTAAGTCAAATTTTTAATACAAAAATTTTTTGAATTAGAATTTTTCACGTTAAAAAGTTGCTTTAGAAAGTTGCAAGAAAACTGTAAGCTTATGTTCTTTCTGATAATTGTTGATTTGGAAATATTTCTAAATAGTGAAGACCCCGTAAATTGTTATGTTCTTTGTGTTGATTGTGCTTTGATTCTGATTTTATTTTCGCTATGTAAACAACAATACTATGGGTCAAACAAATTCATATTCAAATTTAATTTATGCATAAGAAATACTTATATATATCTATTCATAATAATCGTATCAGACTAGATGATAATTATATTCATATTTTGAAAAATCAGAGTTGTACATTATACTAAATGCGGAAGAACGATCAAGAGAGTGATTGGAGGGAGGGATAATAAGTGGAACTGCCTTTGAAGTTATGGAATATGGCAGAACACAGCTCACTTTGGTTTGTTGGTTCGAATCTTGTGTGTATGATGTGTGAGAGTCGGCCTTAATTGGCCTAAATGTTAAAAAAAAAAAAGAAAGAGAAGAAAATGGCAGAACCTTTGATCAGTAAAAGGATTTTGGAATTTTGTAAAAAGGAAGGGTGGTGTTTTAGTTGGAGGTATTACTTCTCATAATATCTCTTATAATTCTATTAAATGTTCCATACGAGTTAATTTGATTTTATCTCAAAATTGTTTTGTAGTCAGTTTTTTGATTTTCGGGTTGTTTGGTTTGCTGAAAAAAGGGTGCATTGCTTTTAAAATATTTTATTATTTAGATGAATGTAAAATAAATGAGAGATTTGTTTTTATTTGAGATAAAATAAATGTAATATAAAATATATAATCGGTGATAGTCGGTAGTGGCGATAGGTGGTAGTGATGGTGGCGATTATTGGTAGCTAATGGTGGTGGTGGTGACAGTCATTGATGGTGGTATTGGCACGCGGTGGCTGATGATCGGTGATGTCATTAAAAATAGGCAAAATTTGAGGAACTTTAAATACATAAAAAATAAATTAGATGTTGAATTAAAATTTTATATTGCATTTGATTTATTTTAATCTGAACATCAATATTTTTCAAACCCGAACATTTAGAATATTTATGCCCTTTTTAGTTCAAACCTAACAACCCCTTAGAGTTGAGCTAAGTTTGGTGCTAGACTAGGTTAGTCTAATTTTTGAATAATAATTTAAATAATTATTATTTGGTCTTATTAATTTGAATAAAAATGAAATGATTTTTAAAATTTTATAATCTGTTTTTAAAATTGAATGTAATATTTATTTAAATTTTAATAATACGATTTTATTAAAGAGGATTTCATTTTAAGACAATTTTTTTAATAGTTTGAAGTTTTAAATATTAGCGATCATATTATTTGTAATGGAGTTTTTTTCTTTAATTTAGATTTTAAAATGTTAGACATTCTATTTCTTTGCCTTTGAATTATTCAAACATTTGAAAGAATGAATATTTACATCCTAACTTTTATAAAGATTCAACAATAATAAAAATATGTAGCTGACACAAATTTTTTATATAGAAAGTCCAAAAAAGAGAAAAAATCAAGAGGCTTGGCTTAAGAGAAATGAACAACTAAGGGGATATATTATAAAAATTTGTTACAGATAAGTATTATTATTTTTGGACATATAGATTAATTAAGATAAATTTATACATATATTACATATACAAGTATGAAATTTATGACTTCTTCATTGAGTTCATCAAATATCTAACACCCAAATTCTAATTATGCAATTATGCCTCCAATTCAAATTTAAAAATCTAAAAATTCACATTGACCTTTTTTTATTCGCAGTAGAAGTCCTTGAACCCTAAACCCTAGTTCTTAAAATTCGTCAAGAAATTCCAAGAATTCGAGAAATTATTACGTGCATAGTTCGGATGAAAAGTCGTCTGAACATAAATTTTTCTCCGGACTCCCATCACGCAAAAACATGTGAATTTTTTCTTATAGAGTAGAAATTAATATGTGCGGAGTCGAAACACAAAATTGCTTCCTAATATATGAATGTACATAGTATATGTATACTATGTTAAAAATAAAAGTAAATAATATATATACATTATATATACTCATAGTTCCAATGCAACTCTAAATCCGGTCTTAAAAAATAATCTCTTTATAAACAGAGTGTGTATAAGCCGAGAGAAAAAAAGAGAGAGAGATTTACATACATATCATCTTATACTACTCTATTTACATATTTAATACCTAAAATTTTAATATTACATACATACCACTAATAGTTTATTTTAATATCAAATATGAATGATAGAAATGAAATATTTATACACAACTCCCCTTGACCTATTGGTTGAGAGCTTAGGCTTCCAACTAAGAGGTCCAAGGTTCGAGTCCATGTATATGTGTTGTGTGTGTGAGTTTGCCTTAAATGGCCTAAATGTCCCAAAAAAAAAATGAAATATTTGAGTGGTAGAAAGGAAATAGGAGTGATATATTTGATATTAAAATAATATAAAATGGTGTATATATAATATTAAAGTTTTAGATGTTAAATATATAAATATGATAGTATAAAATGGTATGTTTGTAAATTTCTGAAAAAGAAACCCCCTGTCTAGAATGTACTCATAAAGTAACATGGGAAAGCCTCCCGAGTAATCTCCACCAGCTTCTTGCCGATCTGAGACAGCAAATAAGCGTCCAAGCAAGCAACCGCCATCTGATTCTCCGACAGCGGCCACCGATCCCAATACCGAACCTGCTGAAGCCTAATCGCCTTCTCCCTCCCCAGCAATTTTCTGGCGAGCTGATCTAGAGTTGTCAGCCGACGCAACCCTCGCCACGCTCTCGCCTCGCCGAGTTCCCATGGATCCACGTACACAAGCATCGGATCTGGCCGGCCGAGCCAATCGCCCGCTCGCCGAACCCCTGCTCCGACGAGCGTAACTTGATCTCGATCGAAGAGGAAATTGACGAGAGCGTCGGGAATTCCTCCGTCGTTGTAGAGGAGGGAGAATACGAGGCATCTGTTCCCGCAGCAGAGCTGGATGGTTGCGATATTGCCTGAAGATGGATCGATGGGAGCCTTTGGATTGAAGAGAGTTCTGGGGGTTGATGATGAAGGGAAGGATGGGTTATTGATCTGTTTAATTTCAGACGGCAAGAAAATCGAAGAATCAGGAGCCGATGCGGGTGGAGAGGAACCGACAGAAGCCATTGATTCAGAGAGAGTGGCGGCGGGTTGAGTTTCAGATTTCTTGGAGATAGCTGGGGGTTTTAAGGATCCGCCCTTTGTTTTAGCCGGAAAAGAGGTTGGGGGATCGGCCAGGTTGTCAAAGAAGTTAGGGTGGCGGCGGAGAAAATTGTTGTAGGAGGACGGCGAAGGATTTTGGGGAGTGGGAGAGATTGGGGGAGGGATAGTGCCGTACGTGTCAGTGGTGCTGATGCCGACGATGAGACGGCGACCGTCGATATGCTTTGTTCCGTTGATCCAAGCGGCGGCGACGTTGCTGCGATTCGTCACCGTGGCTTCTAGATTGATGTCGTTGATGACCACCAAGAAGGATTCCGGCGACTCTTGGCCCAGAACTAGAAACGACATCTTTCTTTTGAACTGGGTTTATGGTTCCTCCTACCGATCAACGGAGAGAGGGAAAAAGAGAAAGAGCGAGAGAGCATTATTTAAAATTAATTAAATAAAAAAGATTAAAAAGTAGAATTTAAAAAAGGCCATTTACATTCATATCATTTTATACTATTTTATTTACATATTTAACACTTAAAATTTTAATATTACATACATATCATCTTATATTATTTTAATATTAAATATGACATCCATATTTCATTCACACCACTCATATATTTCATTCTTACCATTCATATTTGATATGAAAGTGAAGTAGAAGTGATATGTATGTAATATTAAAATTTTAGATATCAGATATATAAATATTTTTTCTTCTTCGGCATTCTATAGATGCATATGTTAGATATATAAATATATGTATGTAAATCCCCCTAAAAATATTAAAAAGAATTTAAAGAATAAAATATTTTATTTTGTTTTTTAAAACACAAAATTTTATTGTTTTTAGTTTTTACATAGAAAATCCATAAAATTGCATATCTATTAAAAATTTGAAATATTTTTTTTTAACATGAAAAAAGTTTAGCAAAATACTTTTTGAAATTTAATTTGCAAAATATTTTTGTTTATGTTATTATTATTATTAATTTGGGATAGCTTTTAGATTATTTTTAAAACAATTTTTTAAGTACAAAAAAATTTTTGTATTAAAAAGATAATTTAAAAAGTAAGAAGAAAGCTATTCCAAACAAAACTTTAAACTCTACTAACATGAAAATTTTCTTTTACATACATGGATGGCAGTTGCTTGTCGGAGTTCTAAAGGATTATGGAGGTTTAGGAGCTTTAAAGGTCAACAAATTCACTATTGTTCGCGAGATCTAACGGTCTCTTAAATTCTTGAAGAAGATTGAAGCTTGTAAGGCCACATATATGATCATAGTCACCATCGATGCAACAAGACTTACACATCAGGATTTACATTACAGCTATTAATCATATTAGAAGGTGAAATGGAGAAAATTTTCCTTCAACTTTTGCAATGCAATTATCTTACTACGGCATATAATATCCTCATTATTGAAAATCTTCTATTGATATTTAGGCTATGTTAGAGATAGATTTTTTCCTATTTTTTAAAATATTTTTTAGTATACAAATTTATTGAATTATAAATTTTTTAATTAAAAATTTACTTTAGAAAATGATAAAACAAAATCTTAATTGAGAAGGTCCTTCGGTATACATGCCAAAGCATTCATCCATGATGGAGAAAATAAAAAGTGAGAGAAAAAGTTTGCACTGTAGCAACCAAGCACTCTGTCTGATCTACTTATTTGCTGAAATGAAGATAAGTTTCCTAAAAAATTTTATAAATATCTTCGTTTTGCATACAATATCTTCATTAAAATAGACAGATATTTGATTTGACATATTTATAAAAAGAGAATAACACTCAGAATGGCCCCATAAGAGTAATGATTCCGTCAGGTTATCGAATGCATTCGGAAACCAATAACAAAATGCCACGTCACTAAAGTGCTCGGTACAGACGTTCGGTACACTCGGTATTTTTACCGGACACAATGAAAATTGCAAAAGAACACCCCTAGGACATAAAATTGATCAGAGAAGATAAAAGTTGGTTGCCAAAAAGCTAGATTTATGAGGTACATAATAAATACACAATTTTATAAAAAATTGTATATTTATTATATATTTATTATGCACCCTCACAAAATTCAAGAGGTATCAGAACTTCGCACGTAATAATTTCTTACCAAAAGAGCCTTCCAAGAAAGATAAATGAGATTTGGAGAAGTATTTGGTCCATGCAAAAAGGAGTTGCTCACTTTGGCTATAGGAGAAGAGAAATTATTCTATGCGGAGTTCGGATAGGAAGAATCATTTGAACATACGTGTACATAATGTGTACCAATTTTTTGTATGCTCTTCCCATCCAGACTCCACTAGGAATAATTTCTCATAGGAGAAAACCTAGATTCTTCACCTTTCTTCAACCTCATAACATAATTGGCAAACACAAAATATATTTATATCAACAACAACAACAACAACAACAACAACATTAAACCTTTGTCCCACTACATGGGGTCGGCTACATGAATCCTTTTTCGCTATTGTATCCGGTTAAAAGTTAAATTCTCATCTAAATCTAATAAAGAAAGATCATTTCTAATATTTTCTAACCAAGTCTTTTTAGGTCTATCCCTACCTTTCTTAACATAAGTCAAATCTAATACCTCAACTTTCCTAACCGGGTCATCGGAAGGCCTCCGTTTAATGTGACCAAACCATCTAAGGCGACTCTCTCTAATCTTATTTTCCACTGGAGCTACTCCAACCTTTTCACGTATATGCTCATTTCGTATCCTATCTCTAACGGTCAAGCCACTCATCCACCTAAGCATCCTCATCTCTGCAACACTTAACTTAATATTATGCTTCTCTTTTAATGGCCAACATTCGGCACCATAAAGCATTACAGGTCTCACCACCATTTTATAGAATTTTCCCTTAAGTTTGAGGGAGACTTTTCTATCGCACAATAAGTCCGATGCATTCATCCACTTCAATCATCCAACTTGAATTCTGCTGATAATATCCCCATCAATTTCACCATCACTCTGAACAATAGATCCAAGATATCCAAATCTAATGCTTCTAATGATAAACATTGCAAAATATATTTATATCAAAATTTTCAAAAACCAAATCTAATGCTTCTAACGATAAACATTGCAAACAACTTACACCAGAATTCTGCTGAAGACATATCTCTCTCAAATGTACACAAAATGAAGGAGACCATCATTCTACAAAACCTTGATTCCAATAGCAGCCATTGATTGCAGTTGTTAACAGCAGAGAATTCAAATTCATTAAACACAGAAACCAAAATAGATTACAGCTATTCCATTTCACTACCATAATAGCTAAAAAATCAGCACTGAAACATATAGGCAGACCTTAACAATGGCTGAACTGAACAAGTAAAAGGCCATGGCTTCAGTATTGTATCTGGAATCTCAGGGATGTCCATTGCCATCCCACTTTTCTCCTCCACCTGCTTCAGAGTGGTGTTCAGAAACTTCAGCCTTTCAGTCAGTTCCATCACTCGGCTCCTCATCGCTGAATTCTCAGCATCAAGCGTAGAACACTTCGTACTGATCAGATTCACCTGGTTCAAAATCCCATCGTTTTCTTCCTTGAACTGAGAGATTTGGCTCATCATATCATCCAAATGCTGCTGCTTTTTCATCCGAGATCTCCTCGCAGATTCCCTGTTGGACAACATCCTCTTCCGCTTCCTCTCATCAATTTCCTCAGTCGTCATCTCTCTCAAAACAAGAAAATCTTGAGCAAAAATAGAGATCGGGATGACTTGAGAATCAGTTATTTGGAGCAAAGGTGAGCTAATTCATGAGATAACATAGAAGTAGTAGAGGAAAACAACAGAGAAGGACTGAAGAAGGCGAATCCTCTGAAAAAAGGAGCCGGAGTTCATAAAGGCCTGAGATGGTGGGTGTTCTAACCTAAATCATCAAAAAGATCGGTCAGATTTACAGAACGAACGGTATGGAGATGGAAAGAACTAGGCTTTGATCATATATATAAAAGCTAGGTTTAGAGATACCACAAAGAAGAGCTCTTGGCATGTAAAAGTCGTCGGAGAAACAAATTACTCGCCGGAAAAATCGAAACTTGGAGAAAGATGTTCTACGGGATAAGAATTCCGATAATTTCGTACCAGAAACACAAAATAAAAACTTCGCTGGAAACAAAGCGGATCCTTAGATCCAGATATGGGGAAGCCGGAAGAGACAGAAACAGAGGGGCCATCAGGAGATAAACGACAGCGGCATTTATAGCGGAGAGAGATTACAGATATGCTTTGCGGGATAAATAAACTAAAAATTTTCATTTTTTATAATTAAAGTATTCATTTGGAATTAAAATTCTAATGACAATTTAAAGACAAAAATGTGATTTTTTCTAAATTATATCTAATTTTTTAAGGATATTTAATATATTTAAAATAAACATAATTATATATAAATTGGTATTTTGAGAAAAAAATCATTTTAAAATTACTAAAAATTAGCTTTTATTTTTTTTCCATTGGATTCAACAAATTTTGTGGATATAATTTGATAGGTTATATGACACACTTTTAATTATAATTGAATTTATTATTATTATTATTGAACTATTATCTAATTTTATTTTTTGAATGCGTTCGGAACTATTCAAAGATCTTTTTGATTTGGCCATTCAATAGCTATTTGAATCTAATATTTATTTAATATAAATAATTTTTATTAAATATTTTATTATTATTTAATAACATTTATAGTAGAATATTACTATTTTTTAAATTAAATTAAATCATATTTTAGGAGATTTGACAACATTGTTATATGTTAATAGTCTAATGACAATAGTTGTTTGATGTTTGCGATGCTTGTTGATGATTATTATTAGCAGTAATTGTTGGAAAGTATAATGGAGTTTTTTTACTTCTCCATATTGATCATTTTAATCATAGATCATTTATCAATGATTCAATTCTCGATGGTGTCAGAATCCAATGATTTTTTAACTCATTAGATTCGTCTCATCGGGTAGCTCTTTTTTATTATAAGCATGTTATAATTGGAGGCAGTGTGGTCCATCGAAGAATATTAAGAAGTTTTTTCAGATATGTTTCATGTGCTTGATTAAAGCTCATTTGGAGTTGAATTGGATCACTTTTAGTGTCGATTATTTTTCTCGTAACAAAGGAGTTTGATTTGTTCTGGATTTAATTCATCAAATTTGAATTCAAATATTGCATCGATATTCATGTCGATCATGTGAACTTTGTAGAGATGGCTCAAATTCAATAAAATATATCCATAAATTAAATAAATCTATCTAAAATTATTAATATATTTGTGATTTGGATAATTATCACCCATATTGACTTTGTCAATGTCGTTATCCAAAAGGCTAAGCGCCACTGGTCAACTTTAGTTCATCTTTTTTTTGGGACATTTAGGCCATTCATAAAATATATCCATAAATTAAATAAATCTATCTAAAATTATTAATATATTTGTGATTTGGATAATTATCACCCATATTGACTTTGTCAATGTCGTTATCCAAAAGGCTAAGCGACGGTGGTCAACTTTAGTTCATCTTCATATATTTGGACATTTGTCTACAGTGTGATTTTGTCAAACCTACTTCCCTCGTGACTTCTTTTATAGTAATTAATCTGTTAAAAAATGTTAAAATAAATCAGATCAAGATAAATTTGATATGTATTAGATGTGATACATTTTCAAAAATTTGTCCAAGTAAATACCAATAAAGATATAGCTTTTAAATTGAAAATTTTTAAAATTAATTTTAGGATAGTTCGCTGTTTTATTTTAGCGAATTTGTAGATAAATTGAACATCTCGATGAGATAAATCTATCGATATTAAAAATGATCTGATTTGAGTTCAAATGAGCCAAAGTAAAGAACCTGAAGTGTAATTGAAAACTAAATGAATATTTTGATGAGAGGAATCCAATGAACCTAAGATCACTCAATAATGAGATCAATAACGTGCTTAAATATGAAAAAATAGTCTATGATTAAAGGGATCAACATAGACTGTTTGATAGATGCTTTTAGATTTTGACTAAACTAATTAAAATATCACTTAAAGCAATTATCAATAGAGTTTCTTTCACTATTTAAAAAGAGATATTGAACTTGGAATTAATCTTAGGCTTAAAGTTAAAGAGAGTTTTGCATAACGATAGGCGCTTACTATAACCAGCAATTAATGTGCTCGACTTTATTCGCCCAACCATCATCATATGACTACCATCATCCAACAACAGTCGCCCAGCCATAGTATCCTGACTGTTGTCACTTGATTATCATTATTTGACTAATATATGATGATCGTCATTACCTAATCTCTTTTGCTCGGTTTCCATGATCAATTTATTCATTGTCCATTCTTCATCACTCAACTATAAACTCCAACCCATCGTCGTCCGACTATGGTCTCCTAATAACCATTATCAAACCATCATGGTTTGAATGAAGCCTACTAGACACCATTTTCTAGCTTTAGTCTCCCAACCATTATCAATTGTCTGGCTTATAGCACCTACACGATGATTTTTATGAGTCGAAGCTGGGACTTCTGCCTTCAAGGGACAACTACATTCTGTAATCATTACTCAATTCATCGATCATAATGAAAAAGCAAGATTTACGTTAAATTGTATATTATTCAATTTATTTTTAAAATATTAGTTTATTTCTATTATAAGTTTGTCCATCCTTAAAAAAGAAGCTGGCTCTGCCCCTATCAGCACTAACACTGACTGACACTTAATTCATTGCTTATTGTTGCTTATAATGTTGATATATATCATCACTAGCTAAAATTTCTGACATCAACATCAAGATTATGATCGATTTTTTGGTCTCTGAAATCTTCTTAAACGGAGAATGACTAAAAATATCATAAAAATGCTTTATCATTGCAAATTTTTTACCAAACACAAAAATTTATTTTGAAATGCTATAATGTATATTTTGATTAATTAAATATGTATCATACTCATTTTAAATAAATTTAATAATTATAAAATTTAGCATAATTAAATTTCAGTTGAAATATCTTACCTAAACTCTATCATTGTCTTACTGGCAAATTTTTGGTGATATACCTTTGGTTTGATGAAATGATGAAATAGATTTAAGTGTTGGAAAAGATTAATATAAAGACAAAAAAGTGGTAATTTTTAAATAAAAAAAGATTTGAAAGAAATTAAGATAGTATGGAACGTCAAGCCATATTATTCATTTGGTTGCTGTAAAAAATATACTATATATTTTTTATAAAAATCATTATTTTTAGAGAATTTTATAAAAGTTTGAACATTTTAAAATTAATTTTTATTTATAATTATATTAAGTTAAATAATAAGTTTAATAAATTTTATTATTCTTTCAAATTTTGATTTTTAATTTCAATGAATCAAATGAGTTCGTGAAGGGATTCAAGATGAGGTCATTAGGGCCTATGCTTAGTGCTCCTACTTAGGATTTATTTGGGATAAATTTTTTACTATTTTTTAAAGCAATTTTTTAGTAAGCAAATAAAAATATTTGTACTAAAATGCTGATTTAAGAAGCAAAAAGAAAACCATCCCAAACAAAGCCTTAGTCGAGCTAATTTTATTGAGAATTTATTTGGCATGGCTGCAACTTTTTATAAAGGTGATTGTAAAGCTGAAGTAGGTAAGTAACTTTGGCTTTGTTTGTGAGGGCTTCCAGCAGTAAGAAAGCCGCTCAAAACAAAACCTTTGTTGAAAGCTTCTATAAAAAGCAACTTTCTAGCATAGAAAAATTTCGAAAGCAGCAAAAAATAGTAATTAAATAAAAATTATGAAAACAATTGAAAAATAAGTCAGTAAGAAAGCTAGCCTTTGTTTGAGATAGCTTTTGAGCACTACTTTTCACTATTTTTAAAAAGTTTTTTTATTAAAAATCTACAAAAGCAGTAAGAAAACTATGCCAAACTGAGGCATACTTGTCTAATTGGATGAATAAATCTTTTTATCAACTATTAATTATTTCATAATTTAAAATTAAAATATTTACCAAAAAATATTAAAATATTCAATTTAGAGAAATTACAAATATATAAATGTGTTACTCTTAAGAGGTCAAGATCAAGATAGACATATATGAATTACAGCTTATATAATCTAAAAATAATTTTAAATAATAAAACTATATTTTATTATAATAATTGAATTTTACGTGGCCAATATATAATACTCTTATTTGTTGGTTTTATTGCTTAGAATAAGAAAAAAAACAAAGAGAGAAAGCTTAATAGAAAATAATAAAATAGGAAGAACGAAGAAGATGAATTCCCTTTGTCTTCTCTTTCTTAAATATTGGAATAACTCAAATGGAGGTTGATTAATTTTATTAGAATCAATGATCAAATTTGCAATGTTATAATCTTAAACAATATGAGGAAAACCAATAAAAATTAAACTATAATAATAGATTATAGGCTACAATAATATATATTATAAGTATAGTATCAAAATTAGCAAATTTTCTTAAAATCCTTTCGGTGTCAAATTGAGAGCGGTTTTGCGACAATTTTATGACTGCTTTATTTTTCAAATTACAACTACGATTTTATTTAACACGGCTTTCTTAGTACTGCAAGCAACTTTAAAAATGCCATTTTAAAAAGCAATAAGAAATTAACTAAAATATGATAAAATTATCTTAGATTAAGACTATATTTAGGTCGGTTTTTTTACTATTTTTTAAAATAATTTTTTAATAAAAAATTTAAATTTTTTACTAAAAATTTTCTTTAAGAAGAAATAAGAAATTAAGCCATCCCAACCGTAGCCTAAAACCATTTTGTTTTAAGGAATAAAAAAATTTCTCAGCCTGCAAAGTCAATTTATTTACTTTTCCTACCACTGTAAACCTTTATTGTTGTTTCATGTGCAGTTCTTCTTCTAGATAACCATTTAGCTAAAGAGATTTTGTGTATGTTCAATAGATGGACCTAAGTTTATAAATATGAACCATAGCAATAAGCACACAAATAGAGGTTATATTTGAGTAGTATAAATCTCATAATAATATTTGAGATGAAAATTTTCAAAATTAAATTGAATGTCTTTGATGAGATTAACTCACTCATCGACACCACCAATGAACCGATCGAGTTTAAATGAAACTAAGTCAAGTTCATGAAGTATATTTAGAAGCTTCATAATATTAATTGAAGGACCAAACAGTCTCTAAATCCCACTTAATTATAGCCAAAATGAACGGCATAATGAGATGAATCAAATGAGTCCAAGATCACTAAATTCTATGATCACTAAGATACTCAAATACTGAATAAATAACCTATAATCAAAGAGATATATATAGAATAATTGATAAAATATTTTGAATTATGGCCAAATTTATCAAAGTACCTCTCTTAAGAAAACTTTAAATAGAACTTTATTTTCATTATGGAGTAGGTTTGAGAGCTAAGAAAGCTAAATAATTCTATTAAAATTTTTGGTGATCATCTTCGATTATCACCATTTGTAATTGGCACCACTGTCGTTTGACCTCTGTCATCCGAATATTGTTGCATGAATATTAATATCCAACTTCATTTTTAGACTTCAACTATTTGTTTGTGGATATTCAGATTTTGTAATCCCTACAATGAGAATCAAACAATTATTCTTAATTCTGTAATCCCATCTTCTTTAATTATGGAGAAGAGCGAATTTTTTTTATTAATAATTATATGGTGAATTATAACAATTGGGTCATGTAGGTTTTCCCCCATTTTGATTTTCAGTATAAAAAAAATCTATTTTCTCTTAAAATTTTTATCTATACATGTTGAATCTTCTATAAAGTTAAGACATTAAAATCTCTATCACGATAAATTTTCTAGAAGTAATAATAATTTTCTTAATTGGAGTTATATAGAGTGAATTCTTTATTGAGTGGTCCTTAATAAGAACAAATTCTTATTTAGATGCAATAGTTTGAAGCTAAGGGGCTTTGCAAGACAAAATCAGTGAGTAGTGACCAACAAGATTGTTTGACATGAGAGGCATCATGCTTTTCTTTCTATAAAATAAGCATAATCAATGGAACAATCATGCTTAAGTTTGTAGAGAAAAGGAGAGAGAGAGAGAGAGAGAGAGAGAGAGAGAGAGAGAGATGGAGAGAGAGAGACCAAGATCCTTTTAAAAAGAACAAATCCAAGAGTTCAATGTCTCAACGCCACCTACCCAACATTAGTGCTCCTAAGGGCAAAATTCTAGATTTTGGTTTCATTAACACAAACCCCTAGGGACTGCTTCAGAATAATTTTAGACACTCATATGCATATAGAAAAGCTACAAACACATGCAAGAAGTATAAATGCAGATATTTCAGCAGGTAACCCTTACCAAATCGGGCTAAAACAGGTGCAACAATTCATGACTTCAGTAAGTATTACATGCAACATGAGCAAGAACATTTCTTCAACTTGCTTAGCTTGGATCTTCTCAATCTTAAGCTTAATGGTTAGGTTAAGGATGTTAATCAATATTTCTCCTCTCCCCTCTCTATCTATACCTCCTGGATAGTGCAGAGGGGAAAGACCAAGTGGCTCTCTAAAGGTGATGATGATTTTCACTTATTATATGGGAAGATTAAAGGCAAAATGAATCATAATATCATCAGACAAATCTCCTTCTCTGATGGGACTTGGTCTAATCAAGTCACTTTGAAACTCTTTTTAACCCTGCTACTCAATCTCTTACTTATGATGTTATACCTAATGGGAATGTTAAATCCTTGCAAGGGAGGTGATTTCTGACTTCAATGGGAAACATAAACAAAGCCTGTATGGTGCTAAAATTGGCATTTGCAATGTCTTTAACTCAGTTTCTAAGGACTATCTTCTATATCGGCTTCACCAAAAGGGGTTTCCCTAGCATTTTTATTATGTGGACTAAAGCTTGTATTGAAAATGTGCATTCCTCCATTTGTATTAAAGGTTCTCCTGAAGGCTTTTTTAACTCCTCGTCTGACTTAAGGCAAGACTATCCCTTATCTCCATACTTATCTTGTATTGTCATTTATGAGCTCTCTACATACTTTAGAGATTATAGTTTGAAATAATTCTTACTTTGACATCCACGTGGGAAATTCCCATTATCTCCATCTTTTCTTTGTCGATGACCTCATCATTTTTGGGAATGTTAGACCCACCAATATACAATCCCTTAACAATATCCTTACTCAATTGTCTCCTGCTTTTGGTTTGAACATTAACCACTCCAAAAGCTCTGTTTTCTTTTCAAAACAAACTCCAAACAAACAACTTTTGGTGGCTATTTTAGATCTCAAATTGAAAAATGCTGCCTTTATGTACTTGGGAATTCCCATTGCCATTCGCAGGGGTCTTATTTCTGACACCTAACCTCTTTTAAACAATGCATTCTTATTTCTAGATGATTGGAAAGTTAAAGCCCTCTCTTTTGCCAGCAGTTTTCAATTTCTCAAATTCATAATTTGAAACTCTATAGCCTACTGGATTAGAGGGCAAGTCATTCCTAAGAGTTGTTTGAAAGCTCTTAATAAATTATGCTCGAGGCTTCTCTTCCATGGTGATATTACTAAGAAGAAACTCTCTTGTTTTTTGGAAAAATACTTGTAAGTTGAGAAAATTTGGTGGTTTGGCCATCCCTACACTTAATGACATTATTCATGCATTCAATTGCACCCTCATCTGGTGGTTTTTAAACCATGAAGGTTTACTTGCCTGCTGGTGCAAGCATAAATATACATCTGTTTGGATCTTCTGTATGAATTATTGCTGAGCAGGGTGATTTTGGCTTTCTAAGTCTAGATTTCTATTTTTCTTTCAGTACTTTGCATTTCTTATACCACCATTCTTGTGCACTTTTTGTAGACTATTTCTTCTGCAAATTTCTGTGCACCTTACCTCTTTGGCACTGCATTTCTCATCACTTGTAAGTAATCCCAGAGATGTATTTTTGTTCTCTTTTGTCATTATTTGTCTAGATTTTGAGCTAATGCTTCTTCCTCGAGCTGGCCTATTTTAAAGCAGCAATTAGCCTGCCTCCATGCATTGCTATCGAAAGTCCTTTGAACCATCATTTGTTACATTAAACTACATAAATCAACACTTGTTCAATTGTACTTACCTTTGAATTGTTGGTTTCTCCAGGCTGAAGATTTACCTCATGAAATCATAAGCATATTTGATGTTGAACATCACTATAAATTTATAAGTCCATCCCTTTCAAATATTTGATTGGTCAAGTCATTCAAAACTTCATAAATCTGTAGATTTAAAGGATGAGATTGATCTCCAGCAACAAATTCATGAACAGTTCCATGGACTTCTATAGAGCTGCACCCAGGAATTTTCCTCACTCCTTTATCCTTCATCACCCTCCTCATCCTTGCAGCATCTTTCCATCTACTAACCTTAGCATAAAGATTGGATAAAAGAACATAGTTACCATGATCAAATGGCTCTAACTCCAATAGCATTTTTTCTACTTCACCTCCCAATTTAATCTTCCCATGGAGCTTACAAGCACTTAAAAGTGCTCTCCAAACATCACCATTGGCTGCCATTGGCATCTCCTCTATAAACTTCTTAGCCTCATCAATCAACCCAGCTCGACCCAAAAGATCGACGACACAAACATAGTGCTCAATTGTCGGCCAGATTCCATGATCTCTTTTCATTCCGCCGAAACTCCGCAAGCCTTCGTCAACTAGCCCTGAATGACTACAAGCAGAAAGAACACAGATGAAGGTGATTTCATTAGGTTTTATACCACTTTCACACATCTCATAGAATAGATTCATTACTTCTTTTCCCTTCGAATGCATTGCCAACCCTCCCAACATTGAATTCCATAAGAACACTTTCTTGTCATTAAATCCTTCAAATATGTTATAAGCCTCATCAATCTGCCCACATTTTGCATACATGTCAACAAGCGAAGTGCATAGATGAGAATCAATCTGAATTTGTCGCTTATCGATCTGGGCATGAATCCATCGCCCTTGCTCGATGGCACCTAACCCAGCACAGGCCGACAGAAGCTGAGTAAACATGATCTTATCAACACCAACACCCATGAATTCCATTTCTCTGAATAATGTTAGAGCCTCACTGTACTCCTTAGCTCTCATGCACGCACCAATCATTGCACTCCAAGAGACAATGTTTCTTCTCGGCATTTCATAGAACAGTTGGCGTGCTTCATAGATCAGGTTAGCACTTGCAAATCCCACAAGCATTGATGTCCATGACACCACATCTCTTGACGGCATTTCATCAAACACCTTCCGGGCACTTTCCATGTCTCCTAACTTAACATACCCATCCAGCAAGCAGTTCCAAGAAACGACATCAGGATTCTTCATACTGCATAGAATGAAGCTTAACTGAGTTGGATGGACTCCGGCCTTTAGATAGAAGTTCATAAGTGAATTCCATGACTGAGTAGGGAATTTATTCGGGGATTTCACCATCAAAGTATGAACTTGCTTACCAAAGTGGAAAAACGTCGAGCACCTGGAGCACGCGTTGAGGACGAAGGTCAGAGTGAACTTATCAGGAACCATTACAGTGTCGCGAGTCAGCTGGGAAAATAGATGGAGGGATGTGATTGGATTGCCGACAGCTGAGTAGGAGCGGATGAGTGAGTTGAGTGCGAAGGTAGTGTTGAGGAAGGAGGATTTGATGAGAAGAGAGTGGACTTGGGCGAGTTCTTTGGGGCTTTGGCATAGTTGAAGGAGGGAGAAGTAATGCGGGGAAGAAGGTGGAGATAGAACTGATTTTGAGTCGCAGAGGTTGGAGTAGGAAGCAGCGGAGAGCATGGCTTTTGATTTGCGGGACGTATTTTTTTGGAGTCCTTATTGGAATTATAATTTTGATATTTATATACATTTGCTCTTAAAATATAAAAATTTATATGTAAAATATTTATTTTTTTTTAACTTTATTTATTTTGTTAATGGATCTTCTCAAATACAAGACTTACGAGCTCAGCTTGATCTAGCCATTTTTTGTGCTTATCGATGCCTTCTTGTATCACTTTGATTCATTAATGTTGTTGTTTGTGAGCTCCCGTGCCAGATAGGCGAAATTATTATGTGTGATATCGTCCGGAGGCTTATTAGGATGCACCACGTCACCAATTAACTGTGTACTGTTACTATGTACCGCTATGTATCAGGTGATGTGGTACTTCCTGGTTGACCTTCAGACGATCTGATGATCACCACACATAATAATTTCTCGTCAAATAAAAGAAGATAAGACGAGAGAATGAACACTCAAGCAAAGGCATTATACATATAATTTGTTTTGGGAAATTATAAACATAACATCTGAAATTTCATAATTTACAAAATGAACACTCTCACATTGAAATATATGATTAGATAACACGTCCAAGCATTTTAAAAGATTGAGCTACAACAGAAAATTTTCAAGCAAAGATCTAAGTTGTGCTAATTAAGGTTTAGTATGGCATGGCATTCTTACGTATTCTTAAAACAGTTTTTTTAAAAATTATTTTGAGAAGCAATAAAAAAAACAGTTCCAAACAAAGCCTAGCTCAATAGATTGCAGAGATACATATGATTGTTCAGAATGTTCGCACTCATTTAATGAGCTTTGAATGAACTGATCAGCTTTTCATTCTCTCCAGCGATGATCACAATTAGGATTGCAACATACAAATATAAGTGTCATTCCTTCATCACCTCCTGTAGTGGCCTGCAATGAGTTCAAAATTTATCAAATTAAGATTTTGTTTGTGACTGCTAACTGCTTTCATAAAGCTTCTTAAATCAACTTTTTAATACAAAAAATAATTTTTGTATTAGAAAGTTGATTTAATAAGTAGTAAGAAAACTGTCCCAATTCCAAACGAAACCAAAATCAAATTTTTATATACTAAGACTGAACTCTCATGCTCACTCCACAACCACTCTTCCAAGTTTTACCTCTTCTTTTCTGATTCTTCTCTCTTAAAAATTTTGCTTCTCACTTGATGTTTAAACTTTAACAGGAACTAACCATTCATTTCTCAGCAATTAAATCTATCAAAAATTCATTGCTTCTTGTCATTTAGGCCATCTTCAACCGAACGGTATTTTCTAGTTGGTAGTAGCCGTGACCGTCCAATCAAACAAGCGAATAACTTTCGGTTTGATTAGAGATGCCCTTACACCATAATTGATACTAAATGCACCTAGTTAAGAATTTTTGTGTGATCTATAGGAAATAAGAAGAGACTAAAATTGTATAAATATGGAAGTGCAGTACAGACCTGGAGGAAGACGACTTCTGGGTGGCCACAGACTGCGCATTTAACAGATTTGGTGCGAGGAAGAGTTGGATCAGCAGTAACGTCTTGAAGGGTCTGTGAAAACTCACTAATTTCATGATCTACGACATTTCTATAAACGCAGAAGCTGTCAGCAACTTCCTGATTGAGTTCAACTGGAATTAATCAATAAATATTCTTTACTGCTGATGTGAACGCTAACAATTAATACCTCATGATCACAGTTTCTGCAAGCGTAAAGGAGGATCTTCCGCACCTTTTCTTCCTTTGGATACAGAAGATTGTTGCTATATCAGAGAAGAAGAGATGATTAATTGATCAAAAATTAAGCATTTCTATGAAGTAAATGAAAAAATATAAAAAAATGGCTTCTTTACCATTCCCGGCAGAACCTCATCACACTCATGGTGGCTGAATAAGCAGTATTTGATGCGATCCTTCTCACCGTTTGATTAGAAGAATGAAATTCTTTCTAGCTTTCATATAAGTTGATGGTAGAATAATGGGGGGAAGAATATAAGGAGATGCCATTTAGCTTTAGATGGAGGCCAAGAGGTGTTTCGTTACATGAAAAGTGTATCAGCAAGCATCTCAAATACGTTTCAGAGCCTCATTGGATAGGGCTTTTTTTTGGAAGAGAAGTATTTATGTATTTGTTGCGTGCTAGAAAATTTGAGTAGGTAGGGTGTGTTTTACGTCTCAACACTGTACAGAAATTCAGTATTTATAGATAAAAGTAATAAGGTCAGAGAATTGATTATGTGGAAAATCCAGAAAGAGAAAGAAATATGGGGTTTGATCCAGTTGTAAAATTCACTATGTAGCAAAGGATACAAAGATCCTCCTTTCTTCACTGTTGAAGAAGAGGGAGAGTACAAAGATCAAATGTATACAAAGGAATAGTCTATACCCAATAACAATGTTTATTTTTTCCAACGGAGATTATAGAAAATAGATATCCATAGGAGGATAAATCAATCTATCTTGTACTAAAAAGCTGCTTCATAAAACAGTAAAAAACTGCCCAAACCAAGAATGAAATAAGCTGTCGCAAATATCTTCTTAGGCAAATCAATTCCTTTTTGTTAAGAGAACTTTAGTCGCTATTTTAAGACTGATTTTTTATTCACTTGCAATGGCTTTATGTGCCTAATTATTTTGTAACGGGGTCTTCTGTTGTAAAGTTAATGCTGATTTGTGACACAATTTTGGCTAAACAACTTCAACTTAATTAGTTTCTAACTGATTTACACTATTTTAAGTCTGATTTGCAATAGTATTAACGTTGTTACAAATTATTTTCATTTTTACGTGATTTTGATTGATAAATTCAAATTTATCTATGATTAATGTCCAACCATACTAACAGATGGGCTCTATGAGTACAACCTAAAAACCTATGTGAGGGGAAAAAGAGAGAGATAGAGAATAGTTTACGAGCTCAATATTTGTAACATAAGTGCTAATGGGTGCTAATGATGCAAAAAACATGCAAAATATTTATCTTTACTCATTATTTATTGGGATTTGAGGACTACAAGAAATACTACATCTATAAGAAATAAAAAAAAAAATGCATAAGATAATGACTATGAGTGCATACTTCCTAAGACACGTGTTATCCTTTAACTAGTTTGGTAAATAACTGTCCCTCTAAGTCCTGCATTTTTTTCTTAGGGTGACTACAATAGTGTCCAATACTTAAGGGCATGGTTACTGGAGAATGCTAGTCTGACAAGGCTATAGCTATTTGACATCTCAAGTTCATTGGTCACCTATGGTGGAGCTCTGAATCGCCTAGGAATAGAAGGTGCATGTGTTTAGGTTACTAGGATGACTAGCTTCATGATTGGCCAACTATGATGGATGTGTCAGAACTCTCTTGGATAAATGCTTTATGTAGTTGATATGATGAGTAAGATTGATGATACTTCGCAGCGGATAATGACGAGTGGTCCCCATGGTTGAAAAAACAAGTGGCAAATAGATAAATCCACGAGGACCCTTGACTATCCTTGTGAAAGGCGACTCTCCTTCGAGTGTTCTATCAAGTTAGGGTCTTATGGTCCTCGGGGGAGCTCTTTTTTAGGCCTAGTCACTAGGTACAAGTTGATTTGCTATGAAACACTGACCACCTATTAAATACATGAAAAAACGTACGAGAGCATACATATATTTGCAACTTTGCTACAAAATTTTGCCAAGAACTAAAATGTATTCGCAATGCTTAATTGCTAAGGAAAGAGACATCATTGTAGCTTTGCGGTAAATATATGACCCAATAGATAGCATCACAAACTTTAACTTTTCAAAGACTAAAGCTGCATAAGGGTGTTAAAATGAGTTTTCAGGTTGAGTTCAGGTACAACTTGAAATTGGCCCGCCTTCAGTTTACCTGACATGAATCCAACTCGATAAGGCAAATAGGTCATAAATCCAAATTCAAACTCAACTCACCCCTAACCCAAGTTGACCTGACCCGACCCGCTATTTTAAACAAGTGCATTGCAGGTGTGGGTGCGGACGCGAGCGTGAGAGAGATCATAGTGGGCGCGAGTGCAGGATCACTGTGAACGAGGGGTGACCCGCGTTAGTTTTGAGTTGATTTCAGGTTTTTGGGTAGACTCAAACCCAACCCATTTGCTAAATGGGTTGACAGGAACCAAGAATTTTTTGTGTCCGGCCCGGGTCAGATTTCGAATTGGGTTAAATTCAGCTGTACTATATCATTTTGTTATAAAAATAGAACTGAAGAAAAAAATGCTAAATAGCAAGGAAAAGGTATAGACGTGGAGCCTCCATCGGACTTGCAGCATCATGCTAGTAGCTTATTGCGCCAATCAGCAACATATTTGAAAAAAGAATGGAAAAAGAATATGTAAAAAAGAATCTGTACTAGCTCAAAGAAAATATCGTAAGCATCAATACTGGTTCAAAACTAACATGATGCTGCAAGTCAGATGCAAATCTGCGATTGACTGAATTCTATGGAAAATTTGTAATTAAAGCTGGGATGAGGAAGAACTGGGACACGGAAGAACTGAAGAAGCCAGCAGGCGCTGGCGAGTTCGATCACGCGAGCCAGCATTCGAAAGTGAAGATGGGGGACTCCTCATAAGGAATAATGTCTTCCTACTCAACATATATTTATTATTGTTTTGACGATATGCAATGTAATTAGATATATAGTTTGTTAACTAAGAGGGACTTGATATTTATTATTGTTTTGACGATATTTAAATTTTGTAGATTTGATTTAAAAATATTAATACCAATTAATATTATTGTTGGAACAATAAAATAATTAAATAATTAAGGTGAGACAAATCTATACTATTATAAAAGTGACTTGGGATTTCACTTTTAGCAAATCTTGATCGTTCATTTATCAATTTTAAAATAATCAGAAACGTTCATTTAGCACTATTCATAATCTTCAATTTTTTTTCCTTTCTACGTAACATTTATTCAACCATTTATTTCACTGCAAATAAATTTAATTTCACATTGGAACACTCAAAGCGAGTGTTTCTATATCATAGCGATCGTTTTTTGGAAGAGAAGTATTTATGTATTTGTTGCGTGTTAAAAAATTTGAGTTGGTAGGGTGTGTTTTACGTCTCAATACTGTACAAAAATTCATAGCGTATTTATAGATAAAAGTAATAAGGTCAGAGAATTGTTTATGTGGAAAACCCATAAAGAGAAAGAACTATGGGGTTTGACCCAATTGTAAAATTCACTATGTAGCAAAAGATAGAAAGATCCTCCTTTCTTCACTGTTGTAGAAGAGGGAGAGTCCAAAGATCAAACATATACAAAGGAATAGTCTATACCCAATAACAATGTTTATTTGTTCCAACAAAGATTATAGAAAATAGATTGGCCAACTATGATGGATGAGTTGTAACTCTCTTGGATGTCTGCTTTATGTAGTTGATATGATGAGCGTGATTGACGATACTTCACTGTAGATAATAACGAGTGGTCCCCCTTGGTTGAAAAACAAGTGGAAAATCAAGCAATCCACGAGGTCCCTTGACTATCCTTATGAAAGGCAACTCTCCTTCGAGTGCTCTTTTTTATGCCTAGTCACTAGGTGCAAGTTGATTTGCTATGACCCATCAAACACCTGTTAAATACATGAAAAGACATATGAGAGTATACATATATTTGTAACTTTGCTACAAAATTTTTCCAAGAACTAAAATGTATTCACAATGCTTAATTGCCAAGGAAAGAGACATCGTTGTAGTTTTGCGGTAAATATATGACCCAATAGATAGCATCACAAATTTTAACTTTTTAGAGACTAAAAGTTGCACATGTGGTGCTCTTATATAAATGAAAAGGAAAAAAAGGAATAAATTGATAGAAAGGCATATAATTGAAATTTATATTTATATTATATGTTTATGTATATGCTAAAAGAAAAATAATGGCAAAGGAACATGACTACATTTATATATGTTTAAATGTTATATTATAAATTATAATTATGAAGTGAGTTTATTACAAAACTCAAATTGTTAAATTTAAAGTGTCAGGTAAATCTCCTATGAACTAGATGGTTGAAAGAGAAGAGTTCGTCTACAAAAGAAGATGATCGATAAACTTGAATTATTATATGTTTAAATTGAAAAATGAATTTTAGTGGCTCTTCAGTTATATGTTGGTGTTAGTATATGTTAAATATTTTATATTATTGAAAGAAATGTATTAATTGTTAGATGGTTGAAAGAGAAGAGTTCGTCTACAAAAGAAGATGATCGATAAACTTGAATTATTATATGTTTAAATTGAAAAATGAATTTTAGTGGCTCTTCAGTTATATGTTGGTGTTAGTATATGTTAAATATTTTATGTTATTGAAAGAAATGTATTAACTGTCTAACTGTCTATTTTCGCCTCGCTAATTCGAATCTCTGGATTAGGTCATGACAAAATTTTTATTGCAAAATAGTTGAATATATATATATATATATACAACCATTCTCTATGGAGATCCCAAGTAATCAAGCTTTTCAGGGCAAACAGTTTTGAAGGTTTCCTAAACAGCTCGGTCAGCTGTCCCCCTCCTACCATCTCCGACGCTACCGGACAACTCAGCACCAACATTGCCTACACCACATGGCAACTCATCGATCAGAACCTCGCCGCTGCCCTGTACTCCGTCATTTCCCCCACCATCCTACCATATGTCCTCTCCGTGGATCACTGCAGCGAAATCTGGCACATTCTTGATAGCCGGCTCCAATCCTCAACCAGATCAATGATATCTCAACTAAAGAATGAACTCCATTACCTATCCATGAAGGACAAGACGATGACCCAGTACCTTCTCGACGTCAAATCAAAAGTCGACGCCCTTGCAGTCGCCGGCTCTCCAGTTGACGTTGAAGACGTCATTCACTACACGCTCAACGGCCTGCCTAACACCTACCAGGCTTTCAAGACAGCCATCCGCACCAACCTCCGCTCCGTCACTCTTGACGAACTCTACACCCTCTTATGCAGCGAGGAGCTAAATCTGCTCCATGAAACCACAAAAGAACTTCATGCCCTTAGCCTTCAAGGCAACCAAACGGCACTTACCGCAAATCGTGGACGCGGAAGAGGTAGATCATCCAACAGTCACGGCAGAAACAACCCAAGATCATCCTATACTCAGTCCAACAATAGAGGAGCAAAATCAAACAGACCATCCATATCTTGCCAAATCTGTGGCAAACTGGGCCACTCCGCGGTCAAATGCTGGCATCGCCACGATGAGCTGTACAACTCCGATCCACCAACCGCTCTGTTCACCTCATCCAACTCGTCCACTCCTTTTGAATGGTTTCTTGACAGTGGAGACACAACTCATCTCACGTCGGATCCCACATATGTCCAGCATTCTCAACCATATCATGGCACCAGTCAGGTAACCCTTGGTAACAGACAACAAGTTCCGATCAAGAACACCGGCAACAGTCTTCTTCCCACCCCATCTGGTAATTTCAAGCTATCACATCTCAATCTAGTTCCAAATTTATCGTTTAATCTTTTATCCGTTCAACAACTAACTGCTGACAATGATTGTTTTATCACCTTCTATCCGCACGGCTACGAAATCAAGGACCGGACGACCCACCGCCGTCTTCACACGGGTCCATCTATTAACGGACTATATCCACTTCAGTTCAAACAACAACCCAGCAACAACCATGATAATCTTGCTCTCATTTCCGTCCAACACATCACCTTCTATCCACACGGCTACGAAATCAAGGACCGGACGACCCACCGCCGTCTTCACACGGGTCCATCTATTAACGGACTATATCCACTTCAGTTCAAACAACAACCCAGCAACAACCATGATAATCTTGCTCTCATTTCCGTCCAACACATTCCAGACTTATGGCACCAGCGACTCGGTCATCCGTCATCGCAAACGCTAGCTGCTATCTCCAAACGGAACATCATAGTTCATTCTAGCTCCACCGGTCCATCATGTAACTCGTGCAAAATGGCTAAAAGCCATCGTCTCCCTACCTCTATTTCTCAATCTGTAACTAGCTCATTATTTTCTGTAGTACACTCGGACGTATGGGGGCCTTTCTCTACGGTACCCGCTCAAGGCTACTGTTATTACGTATCCTTCATAGATGATCTGTCAAAGTTTACTTGGATCTATCCAATAACTAACAAATCTGAGGTTTTCGTTAAGTTTCTTGAATTTCATAAACTAATAGAAAGATAATTCGCTCATAAAATAAAAATTCTTCGCACAGATAACGGTGACGAATATGTTAATCATAAATTCAATACTTATTGCAAAACCATAGGTATCCATCCTCAAACAACCTGCCCGCACACTCCCTCCCAGAATGGGGTCGCCGAGCGCAAACACAGGCATCTAATTGAGACGATAAGAACCCTGCTCATACAATCTTTCCCTCTGGGTCGACACGCTTCTTGCCACCAATCACCTCATTAACTGCATGCCATCATCAAATACCCAAAACAAATCACCATACAAAATTTTACATGGCAAGCAACCCGACTACAAGCATCTCAAGGTAATCGGATGTCTGTGCTATCCCTGGCTTAAGCCCTACTCGACTCATAAACTATCTCCTATCTCTCACCCATGCGTCTTCATTAGTTACCCTCACAATCAAAAAGGGTATAAATGTCTAGACCTCCGGACCAACAAAATCTACATATCCAGCCATGTAATTTTTGTTGAAAACAGCTTTCCCTACTCCACTCACAATTCCCAGATCCCGGTCACACTCGGCTCATCTCACGCCATTCCACCCCTACTACTTGTACCCAATACAAGTCTACCTTCCACCTTATCCCTCGGCTCGACCACCCATTCCTCCGCCCACAACCACTCAAATAACCCCATGATCGCTATAAGTAACAACGCCCAACACAACGCTGCAAACCACAATCACACAATCCCCTCACCAATCCTTCCCACTCCACCAAACATCTCACACAGCCCCACGGATTCCCAACAACTCCCGTCTCCGCTACCTCATACTGCCAAACAAACTCATCCTATGCTCACCCGACTCAAAACTGGCGCATCCAAACCAAAGAAAATTTTTGATCTCACACATATTACTCAGCCATCTGAACCCAAAACTTACAACCAAGCGGCAAAATCCCAGCATTGGCGCAAGGCCATGTCGCAAGAGTTCCAAGCTCTTCAATCTCAGGGCACATGGGAACTCGTCAAACCAACCTCATCCATGAACATACTCGGATCCAAATGGACCTTCCGCACTAAATTTAACTCGGACGGCTCGATTGCTCGACACAAAGCCCGTCTAGTGGCAAAAGGTTTTAATCAAGAGCAAGGCATCGACTACACCGAAACCTTTAGCTCCGTGGCTAAAATGCCAACAATCCGTGTGCTCATTCACCTTGCCCTGCATCACAACTGGCGTATCCACCAACTAGACGCCTCCAACGCCTTCCTACACGGCAAGCTCTCCGACACCGTCTACATGTCACAACCTCCTGGCTTTTAAGATTCCGCGTATCCCGAACACGTCTGCAAACTCAAGAAAGCTCTCTACGGTTTAAAACAGTCACCAAGGGAGTGGTATGCTACCCTTTCCAACCATCTCATCACCTACGGCTTCATCATCATCGCCTCCGATCCCTCGTTACTGACGTACAAATCTGGTAATACTCGCATGTATATGCTAGTCTACATCGACGACATCCTTCTCACAGGTAATTCTCCAACCGAAATACACAAATTACTCTCTAATCTCCATGTCTCTTTTCAGATGCGCAACCTGGGAAATCTGTCCCAATTTCTGGGCATACAATCCCTTACCACCATGAACAACATCATACTTCATCAACAATCCTACGCCAAAGCAATAATACAACACGCAGGAATGGAGACAGCCAAACCGGTTGCCACACCGATCTCATTCAAGATCACGCTCACACCAACTTCTCATGAACCTTATGCTCACCCGCAACTATACAGACAGATTATAGGCGCTCTACAATATCTTACAATCACTCGTCCAGACATCCAGTTTGCGGTTCAACAGCTCTGCCAACACATGCAACACCTGTTAAACTGTCACCAAGACTCATTAAAGCGTCTACTTCGCTACCTTCAAGGTTCCTCCGCTCTCGGCATTCCAATCAACCGATCCAACCTCATCCTCCAAGGTTACGTCGACGCCGATTGGGCTAGCAACAATCAAGACCGCAAATCTATATCCGGGTATTGTAATTTTCTTGGCTCGTCCATCATCTCCTGGCAAGTCAAGCAACAAAATACGGTCGCCCGGTAATGCAC